TTTTTTTTTTTTAATTTTTTTTTTAATATTGTCCAGTTAAAATAGGTAGTTTTCCAAATCATAAAAAATAATGTTGTTTTCAAGCTGCAAAAATACACAGAGTAAAAAAGAAGTACATTTTAGGATTTTTCTGTACAATCATAGTTCCCATTAGAATTAAAGATGGATATGCGACTTCATTTTTAGTATATATACATTGAAGTACTACTCAAGATAGAAGAGAATAAACCAGGGGTGCCTGGGTGGCTCAGTCGGTTAAGCGGCCAACTTCGGCTCAGGTCATGATCTCGCGGTCCGTGGTTCAAGCCCCGCGTCGGGCTCTGTGCTGACAGCTCAGAGCCTGGAGCCTATTTCAGATTCTGTGTCTCCCTCTCTCTGACCCTCCCCTGTTCATGCTCTGTCTCTCCCTGTCTCAAAAATAAATAAAACATTAAAAGAAAGAAAGAAAGAAAGAAAGAAAGAAAGAAAGAAAGAAAAGAGAATAAACCATGACTTTGAAAAACTAAATGATAGTCAAAAGATGATAGTATTCAACTAACAGTTGAATAGGCAATGAGGAAAATAGAACCACCATAGCTTGGATTTTCTTTTTGAAATACCTAGAAATTAATCTGTTTATTATAAAAATCACAGAGAATATAATAAAGCTAACTTTCTATAAACTGACTTACAACAGCAGAATGGCTTGGAATATATTTAACAAAAAGTATTGAAAGATGTATTTTTAATCTTTGTATTGGATTCTGACTGTTGCATTACCTTTAGAAGCTGCTTGATTAGAACAATGGTAAAGATAAAGCTAGCCATTAATATTTGAAATATGTAAATATCAAAACAATATTCTACAGTTTAATGGTTTGAAGCAAATTATTGAACTACAACTTATATTACTTTCATTGGTATTTTCATATGGTTTGAAAGAATGATGGTCATTATTGAAATATTACAATATATAAATGAAGAGGCTTCATTTTAAAGAGTGATACTCTGGAAGGATGATCAGAAAAATCTTAAGTTCCAGTCTAGGAAGCATGGTTTCAAAATCTTTAATGTCACACTTGCAATTACAGATTTTGTAACCCATTTTCTGTTGAGGGATCTTATAACTTTTGTAGACAGCCAAAAATAGAGTGAGGTCATTCTGGAGGAAGAAGTTACACCTTGCAGTTGGTTCAGGCCTTTTTATTTTCTCCCCCTTTTGGTGGTCAGAAGAGATATTCTTGACTCTGGAACCTTGAGTTCTGGACTTCTGATAAATGCTCACTATAACCCAAGTATGGTGATTATAAGCATTTTGGGGGATGGATATTAGTACACACACCCTCTATTTCTGCCCAAGTTCAGAACCATTTGAGAGAGAAATGTAGGAATCAGACAGGTGATCTGATAGAGATAACATAATAGAGATAACATATATATATGTTATCTCTATTTTCTTCATATATATATCTATTGTGTATATATATATACACACACATATATATATATATGTATATATTTTCTCTCTCTCTCTCTCTATCTCCAGGATACTAGAATTAAAATGTGTTTCTATATTTCATATACTGAGCTTCCATATAAGCTCATTTCACAAGGTGTTTCATGGCTAAAAACATTTTTAGTTCAAAACATTTTGAGTTCAAACTTCTGCCTTCGGTAATGAGCACTAGGTTTTTGGACAAATCTTCCTTTTAATACAAACTAGAAAAGCTAGACAAAATACTGATACCTTTGCTTGAAGACATTGGAGAGTTAATTGGGTACATAATGAGTGCTTTTTAGTATTGAGTAGTACTTTTTTTTTTTTTTTAATGTTTATTTTTGAGAGAGAGAGAGAGAGAGTGAGGGAAGGGCAGAGAGGTGGAAGAACCGAGGATCTGAAACAGGCTCTGAGCTGAGAGCAGAGAGCCTGATGCAGGGCTCGAACTCACAAACTGTGAGATCATGACCTGAGCCAAAGTCAGACACTTAACCAGTTGAGCCATCCAGGTGCCCCAGTACTGAGTAGTACTTTTGATAGACTCATGGGCCTAAGGGAAAAAAGTAGCAGTTCAAGGTCTGCCAAAGATGGGGATACCCTTAGATTCCTAGGAGTAACAGTCATCCAGATGTTTTGCAAAGCAGAAGTTAACAGAATTACAAGGAAAAATAGATCTACAACCATAGATGGAGATCTATCTATCTATATATAAATTAAAGATATAGAACATCTTAACAATATAACAGACTTAACTGTCATATATATGACTTAACTGTCATGTACAGAAGTGAATCTAATAATCTCAGAATATAAAATACCAAGCACAGCAGGAATTTTTACAAAAATCAATCATATAGTGGAATAACAAAACATATTTCAACAAATTTCACAAGACTTAACTCATACAGAGTTTTTTTTCAGACCCCATGCCATTAAACTAGAAAATAATAGCAAAGATTATAATTGGAATATCCATACTTTGGAAAGATAAAAAAATTATGCTTCTAAGTAACTGATGAATCAAAGAAGATCAAAGATCTTAATGGTCATAAGAAAATATTTTGAATGGATTTATAACAAAAATACTATAATAAAAATTACAGTATATAAAAAATCATTATTATAGGCATATTTATAGACAATTTATATAAATTGGCATTAGGCAAGAGGAAGGCACAAATTTAATGATATCAGTAACCATTTTGAAAAATGACAAAATGACATTAAGATAAGCCCAAAGAATACAGAGAAAGGAGAGCAGAAATTAACAATAATGAAACAAACAATAAAGATTAACTTGGCCAAAATGTGTTTTTGAAAAGACTAGTAAAATTGATGAACAACTTGTGAGACTGCTCAAGAATACAAGAGCCAGAAATAGTTAACATCAAGAACAAAAATGGAGACATTACTACAGATCCTACAAACATTGAAAATTTTGTAAGAAAACAGAAACAATTTCATGCCAATAAATTTGGTAATTGAGATTAGGTTAACAAATTCCTGGAAAAAGACATATGTATTACCAAAAGTGACACAACTTCTTGTTAGGAAGTCTTATATAGAAATTATTAAATAGTCTTGACTATTGAAGAAATTGAATCAGTAATTAAAAACCCTCTCAAAGGTCACTCTAGATTCATAGGTTTTCACTATCCAATTCTATTAAGCCCATCTAGAGAACAGACAAGGAGGGAACATTCTCCAACTTGTTTTATGAGGCCACCATACATTTGATACTAAAACCTAACCAGGACATTATGGCAAAGGATAGTGACAGCTCAATCTTATTCCAATGTAGATGCAAAAGTCTTAAATGAAATATTAGCAAAATGAACCCAGAAACTTTAAATCGGATAATGTATCATGACCAACTTCTGTTTATTGCTTCAATTTAAGGGTGCAATAACAGTAAAAAGTGGTCAATGTAATTTTTATAGGATAAAAGATCATTTTAAAAGATACATATACATCACTTGATAGAATTCAGGGTACATGTTTTTTTAAAAATTCAAACTAGAAACAAAAGAGAAATTCTTTAATTTAATGAAGAATAACTACAAAAAACCTACAACCAACATGCCTAATGATGAAATGTTGAAGGATTTCCTTAAGAGATTAGGAATAAGACAAGATTGCCTGTTATTACCACTTCTATTTATTACTGTACTAGAGGTCCTAGCTGGTTCAATGAGGCAAGCAAAAGAAATAAAAGGCACTAAAGTAAAACTCAATGCTAGTGGATATGATTATTTCATAGAAATCTAAATAAATCTACAGATAAATTATTAAGTAAATTTAATAGTTTTAATGAAATCAAGGTCAAGAAAATCAATTGTATTTTTTCTATATAAACAGCTCAAATATGAAATTTTAGATACGATATTATTTTCAGTAGCATCAAAGAATAGTTAATACTTAGGAATAAATGTAACAAAAATGCGTAAGACTTTTAGGTAGGAAAATGTAAACTCTGGAAAGATATACCTTGTTCATTATTGGAATCAATATCATCAAATGTCACATCTCACATAGATCTGAACATCTCTAAATTCAGTGTAATCATAGTATAAATTCCAACAAATTATTTTTTTGGGGGGGGGCACAGTATTTCACAAAAGCTTATTCTAACATTTATATAGAAAAGCAAAGGGCCAAGAATAGTTAGGACACTCTTGAAATAGAAAAATAAAATGGTAGGGTTTATTAACGGTAGTGTACTAAGACTTTTAATAAGTTAAAGTAATTTAATTTAATAGTGTAATATTGCCAAATAGATAAATAGACCGACGGAAGCATTCAGAAAGTCATAAGTAGACCCAGGCATATATAGAGACTTGATTTATGAGAAAGGGAGGTACATTTGATTTATGACAAATGGGAAAAAAGAAATTTGTTTTAAAAAATAGTGTGGAGGCAATTAGGTTTCTAAATAGTAATAAAAAAAGGAAACTTGAACTTACTGATACCATGTACAAAAATCATTTCCAGTGAATTGACTATACAGATGTGAAAGACAAAACCAAAGATTACGCAGATAATATAGTAAAATATTTTCATGACTTTGAGGTATGCAAAGATTATAAAAAATAGGACCAAAAGTGCACATCATAAATGAAAAAATGGATTTTGCTACATTAAAATTAAGAATATGTGTTCATTAGAATATATCCTAAGAGGGTTAAAAAACAAGCCACTGAATGGAAGAAGGTATTTGCAGCCTGCATAACCTGTGTAAGATTTTTAGAAAAATCTTACAAACTTCTAAGAAAAATCAGAACAGTCTATAAAAAAAATGGGGAAGATACTGGAAAGGAGGGAGGGTGCTATAGTATAGGGTTCTGGAATGTTAGGAATATTCAGTTATTTAACCTGGGTATCAATTTTACAAGTAATCACTTTATAATATTCATTAAGCTAGACGTTTATGTTTTATACATTTTCAGATGTGTACTATACAATTGAGTTAAAGACATGGTACCATTATGGCCCTAGGCCAAGATAGCTTGAAACATCTATCTCAGAACAGGGGTAGCCTTGCCTAGTGAGGCTGATTTCATAACACATAAATAATATTTCACCTTTGTGCACTATTTCTTTGGCTCTATACTCTATTAAACAGGCATGGCAGAATCTATTGGACTCTTCAGAAGAGAAAACTGAAAACTGAGTCTCTTGGAGGTTAAATAGCTTATCTAAATCCACATTGCTAGCAATGGCAGAAGTGGGACTAGAGCTCCCCCCACCCCGTACCTCAAATCAAAGTTAAAACAATGGGACAATCCACACTCATTAGGATGGCTGCTATCCCCAAAATGCAAAATAATAAGTGTTGGTGAGGATATTTAGAAGTTGGAACCCTCATGCATTGCTATCTCAGAATGTGAAGTGATGTGGCTGCTATGGAAAACAATTTGGTAATTGACCAAAAAGTTAAATATAGAATTGCTGTATGACCCAGCAATTTCACTCCTCAGTATAAACCCAAAAGAATTGAAAACAAGTACACAAACAGATGCTTGTGCAGCAATATTTATAGCAACATTATTCACAATAGCCAAAAGGTGGAAACAACTTAGGTGTCCACCAACTGATGAATGGATAACACCATGTGATATATACATACAATGGAATATTATTCAAATAGTCTATATAAAAGAATAAAATTGTGACTCATGCTACAACATGGACAAACCTTGAAAGCATGCTAATTAAATAAGCCAGACACAAAAGGACAAGTATAGTATGATTTCACTTATATAAGGTATCTAGAAAATATCTAGACAAATTCATAGAGACAGTAGAATAGAGGTTACCATGGAATGGGAGGAGGAGGAAATGGGGATTTCGTGTTTAAGGGCAAGGAGTTTCTGTTTGGGATGAAAACATTTGGAACTATATCGCGGTGATGGTTACACAACCATTGTGAATGTATTTAATGCACTGATTTGTACACTTAAAAATGATAAAACTAGTAAGTTCCATGTTATATATCTTTTACCACAATAGAAAAAAAATTAAACACAGGAAAAATATTATGATGAGCTTCATTTACCTTTGTTCCCCAAACTAGAAGCTGAGTTTATTTTGGGGTCTGAGGGGCCCTGATCTTACTCTAGGACAATCTTGGAAGGTGGGTGTAGCTTAAGTTTTCAAGGCTAATTCCCTACCAGTCTTGTAATGCTCACATTCCAGAGATCCTCCGTGGTCAGCAATAAGTTGGCATTGACAGGCCAACCAATTCTACGTCAAGTAGAAATTAGACAAATACATGTTTTATGTCTATGTGATGGATATGTGAGGTTGTGCACACCTAGCCTCAGAGATGAGAAGTGAGGGTATAAGCGTGAGGTATTTTTCCTTGGTATCTACAAATTAGCTATTTTTGTACATCAAGATTAAGCTAGAGTAAAGGTAGAACTAAACTTTTCACATTTTTTTGGTGCTTTAACACAAAATCTTTAGATAGATATATATAGGCTATAAATGTACTTCCCAGAGATCTTCTTCTTGCTAAAAATGATCAAATTGTATTATTTAATATCATTGCAAAGAACATTTCAAAAATAATCTTTGATGTTCAGCTAGTGTGGAATCTCCCAAGAGATATTAATGAAGATTTTAAGGCATATAATCCATTGTGTTTCCCTGTTATGCTTTAAAATATCCCACAGCACTTGCTTTAGGGAAACAAAGTGTTTCTTTCAATGTAATTTCATATGCTTTTTTTAGTTCATACTGAACTTTTTTCCTCAGAAAAAGTTTCATTTTAGCTTTTTCTGCCTCTATTAAAAAGTTTAGGTTTGTGGATGTATAATTTTTTTCTACTTTCTAGGTTATTTTACACTTCATAGTTTTGAAAAACTGAGTATAATCATTGTATCCATTGGTTTTAAAATTGAGATTCACACAGAGAAATGGCCATATAATACAGTAGCTAGGAGCACTGATTCTGGAGTTGGTGCACATGGATTTGAATCTGAGCTCTGCCATTAACTGGCTGTGTAACTGTGTGCAAGACATTTGACCCCCCTATGCTTTAGTGTATTCATGTGTAAAATGAAGCATACAATAATATCTACTGTATAGAATTGTTCTGAGAAGTAAATGAGTTAATATTTGCAAAGCAATTGGAATAGTGGTGAGCACACAGAAAACACTAAATGTTACATAGGTTAAATAAAATAGTATAGCTACCCCTGGACTTCGTGTTCTTATTTTATTTTTTTCATCTGCGGAATGGAGATCTTGAACTCAAACAGATATGTGGATATTATTGTAATGTCAGTAGTAACTTTTGCTCAGAAATTCTTCAAAAGGAAGTTGGTAGAAGTTATTGTTTACTCTGAAAATTATCAATATAATCAGGATGCATTTTCAGTAGAAGAATAACTCTCAACCAATACAAAGTAGTGGGTTTTGGTCAAACACCTTATTTTCTTTTGCACCTCTGCCTTAGATAGGAAGGGAGTCTTTTCATGACAGAAGACGTCAGATTAATCATCATGATTCCACTAGCTCTTGACATAATAATTAATCCATATAAATTACCCAAGTGATATTAAGAAAATAATTTATATAATCTGTGATGTGAGAAATCAATTGTTTCATTATTCATCACCCATTGTGCAATTTTGATTTAATTTGGTTTGTTGTATTATTTTACTGCTCTATTAACTTAATGATTTGAGCAATTATTTATAGTTTGTGGTACTAGGTAATAGATTTAGAGGATATTATTAGATAATTCATGATAAAGTGATGTTTATGAATATTATAGAGAATTCCATTTTAATTTGAATGCTGTATGCAACTTGATCATAAGGAATTCACATTCTTCTATAAAATTCATATAATACAACTATAAGTGTAATTTTCTGTTGACATAGAGGTATAGTAATTATCAACATTATTTAATGTAGAATAGGTAGCTAATTGTACTCTTGGCTGTCAGTTTCTTTGTGTATCTCTGGAAGTGTGATACCGTTGCTGTTCTAAAGTCACGTGAAAAAAATAAATGAGTTGATGCTCTACCATTGTTTATTTTTTCAAAAATTTCAAACCTCCTTCTATTGCTGACTATAGTTTTGGAAATTCCTCATAGATGTCTTTGTCCTGACTTTATACCATGTCCTTCTCATCATTACCAAGACTTATACTTTTAATAGCTATGTTTATGTGCATTTGCTCATGTGGATTTCCTTGTGGATTTCCATTTTTCTCTAGATATATAGATTGGAGTGGCCTAATGCTAATCAAAGTTTTTCCAGAGAGAAACAAATTATACAGGTGCACATTCTTGTTTACAATTCCTTATTCTCAAATCTCTGAAAACTAAAAAGGAAGAGTAACCTTTTTATTGGCAAATCTGACCTGACCTGAATTGACATGAAGTTATTTATTGTTTTCATCCTGTTTATTGTAAGTATGCATACATTTAAATACAGAAATATTAATGATTTGATTTCAGGATGCTGCCCCAAGCCCCCATGGAGATATTATATCATATATAGTATATACACTATATTGTTCTAAAATCTGGATAATTCACATATTTTCAAATACGTTTGGCTGCAAGGATTGCATGTAACCTGTAATCATGATTGTTTTTGGTGTTCTGTTACCATAAGAACTATGTGGTCTAGGAATATAAATTTTATAGTTATGAATTTTAATCTTTAATTTTTCTCTTAGATTACCTTAGTCCTAATATATTGATGAAATGTTTTTAAATTATAACTAGTGGTTCCAACATCCTTGAAACAAACAATAATTACTAATGTGGCTAGCCAAATTCTCATATCACATACTTTTAAGAAATATTTGACTAGTTTCACACATTATTTATAGAGATTAACAATGAATTCCAAATTAACATGAGCCATGCAAATAGTTTCCTAGCATGTGAGTATAATGGCCCTATATGGGATGTCTTAGGACACTGAGATCGTCATATATTGCATCTATAGGCAGCTCTTTAGGTAAGGCTTTTATGAGCACCTTCCCACCTCCCCACCTCAGTCTGGGAGAGGGCATTTTTTATGTTGAATGCATTGTTGTTATAGTATTGTTTTTCATGTAGGATATATAAAGTATTAACCAAGAACACTTTAGTGAGACATGTTCATATTAACTTGTTTGTGAAAGTATAACTTTTTAACTGTCATTTATAGGTATTTATTACCAGGAAGTACACAATTCTTCATGAGAACACCAACCTACACCTTGAAATACAGTTCACCTGGAATGACTCGCTCCAATGTTTTGTTTACGTCCCGATATGGCCATTTGTGAAACAGAAAGGAAGATCACCATGGATTATGCATAATAGCAATTCATTTTTTCCCTCCAATTTAAACATGCAAAGAAAGTGACCATTAAGTGCTGTTTTATGTATATATGACATATATGTGTGAAAATATATACACATGTGCACTCAAATAATACATATATATTTATTATAATATATGAAAGAAGAATTAGCAGAAAACTGGATATAAGACTTAACCTTTCTGGAAATGTAATAAACCATGCTAAAATTGTTTACACAAATATGTGAATGTCTAGAATTTGCTAGGTTTATAATTAATACGTTCCTACTAGAAATGTTATTTTTGCTGCAGAATATATAAAACAGAATTGATCTTGAAGATCCCATTTCAGTGTTAAATTATTTTCTAGACAACACATCTTTTGACTTGAAAAAGCATTAATAGTATAATACCTTATTAATTCTCTTATATATAGTAGCCATTTAAAATGAAAAACAAAGCTAGAAGCCTGGTGTTGCTTGATGATAGGATTAAATATAAGACGGGTTTATCATTACTACAGCACACTGCAAACTACTATAAAAATCCCAACCTGAAATTCCCAACATTTTTATTTCTCCATATGAAAATTTAGCTACTTGTGATGATGTACATTTTCAGTAAGGATCTAGTAAGATCATATAATGACCTAAAATGGAAGACAATCCAGTGGGTTAAAGTAAACAAAACAAAAACTAGCTTTCATTTTTTATGTTTCATTGGGAGTCACATAAAAGAACAGAAAATGATGGTAATAACAAAATCTTTCCATCTGATTTTTGTATCTCATATCACTCACTTTTATTTGGAAAGTATATCTCCAATGGGTACATATGGTTAAATACAATTTCTTCTGTTCTTCAGAAGTAGAAGAGTTGACATTTCAAACTCATTTTGGAGTTATAGGGTAATGTGTCACACTTACAAGTCTCTCAATGTTGAGACCAACTAACATTGCAAAGTCTAATAAAGAGTTTCACATTGTACCATAGAAAATAATCTAAATTATTGCAAATGGAAGATTTGGATTACTAAATATTATTAGTCATGGATGTACCCTTGAGAATTTTCAAAAATCAAAATAGAGTATGAAGTTTTCTTCATGTGTAAAGTTATTCTGCATGAATTTCTTAGCAGTTTACTTCCTTTTCTTGCTTACAGTTTCAAAAACGATGGGTGAGCATTCAGTTTTCCATAAAAATATCAACACAGCAGTATCATTGACATGGAAGTCCTTAGAAATTGTGATATTCATCTTTTAGAAGTTTGTTTAAACTTCTCCCAACAGTCTTATTTTCTCACAGATGCTAATTATTGGCAAAATGTAGGAAAGTTTTACCTTTTACTATCCTAGAAACTGTTTTCAGTAAATCAAGAAATGGCCCCAAAGCAGGAGAACTTAAGAGAGGCAAACTGTCCGGTTTTACTTTACAAATTGGATAATTAGCAACCTGAAGTTGTAAGTTAGATACATTTTGCTTTTAGAGCCATATTCTGAGGCTGTGATAGGCTAAAATAGGTTTTTCCTTAAATTATCGCTACTTGATTCTTTATGACTACCTAACGTCCATATTCCAATAGATACTTTTCCTTGCTAGATGCATCCCAAAGAAGAATTTGTTATTATCTTTGTGGAAAAAGGGGATGAGGATGTCAGGATAAAGGAAGTTACATTTTAACTCTGAGTATTTGTGACTCCACTTTGTGAATTACTAAATTCATTGCAGATTTCTTAGAATTAATAATGTAAAAATTGGGATATTACAAAATCATTTTAAGAGTGATCAGCAAGTGGGTCTTTTCATGAAGTATTTTTTTAAATCATCTTTGTTTTAAATTCATGATTTCTCCATGAATGAGACATAATTTCAAGTGTCTGGTATATGATATCAACCCAGTTTGTTGGTCACTCACTTGCATTAATTTAAATCAAAATGGTTATTTCTTATGCTAGAGTGGGTGCTTTGGAACTTCTGTCCTCAGTGATAGAAGACTAAAATTTTTATTTAAAACAAAAAAGAAGAATGTTTAACATGGGGATGAACCCTCTCCCCCTAGAAAACACATACACACACACACACACACACACACACACACACACACACACAATTTAAAAACCAAAAATAAGTTAAAATGTGTGAAACTACCCAATGAACAAATTTCACTTCTCTAGCTACTTAGAGCTGGCTTTTTTTGAACACCAGAATTTTATTGCTCACATTTGCATATTTATACTGATCTAGTTTGATGTGATAAAGTTGTGAATAAAAGCCATGTGCTCATTATTTATATATGCTACCTGGTATGCTGTGGACTATGGTTACTATAGTGCTTATTCCCTAATGAGAAACTAAGAAGAGAAGATACACTAGTAAACCATGAAAGTCTCTAGCGGCCACGGAAATGTTTTAGAGGTATAAAATATTCCTTAGTTTTTATTATAAATTTTTTATTCATAGGGTTAAAACATATTAATATAAGTGATAGTACGGGTCTGATTCTCTCTCTCTCTCTCTTTTCCAGGAGAGAAAATAACTTTATTTGAAAAACTCCAGAAGTTATTCAATATTCACAGGAGTTTTTAGTAGGGAATTTGGGTTACTTAAGTTGAAAGTGTATCTTCATTCTGTTAGAGAAAACATATCTCTACTCATTCTGTTAATCTAAGATCAGAATGCTTTCCAGAACCGTATATGATTGCAATGATTTCCAGAATTATATAAAAAGCAATCTTTATTTTAAATCATCATCTATGAATATGGTATGAGATTACAGATTTGTTTTCACTTTAATTATCAAGCATTGTAATTTATTAGCATTTGCTTTATGTAATCCAACTATTGTGATTCATATTTTTATTTATTTTTATTAGCAACAAATTTTATTTTACTAGCATTTCATTTACCTTGTGTGTATGAAAATGAAGCTATAACAAGATCAAATATGGAAATAACCTTTGCCAGATGCAAAGACTTATACATATTTTTTCCATATGTCTAAATTAGGTCTAACTACACAAAAATTGCCTACTAATTTCTCCTCCCTAAAACTAAAATGAGCCAAACTCAGACAGAAACAAACAAAAAAACACTCAGTTTTCTTTTCATGTAGTATTTACAAACAACTAGATGATAGTGGCTTGTAGACATCAAGGATTTCATTCTAATTCTCTTTTTAATTTGGAAAGCATATGATTATAGAATTTCAAGTTGGAAGTTATCTAACTTGAAATTTCACATTGTAATATAAATTAATCCAAGTGCTTTTGTCTTTAGCATGTCAAAGCCATTATGTAAAATTCTTTTTAAATCTAAACATACACATTATTTGACCTTTTCAGTGTAACAAAAATTGATAGTTGCATAAACTCTATTATTTCTAGGTTTCTATAAAGCACTGATTCATTTTTAAAAGGGTATTCTTTAAAAATAATAGCAAATACCTCGAGAAGAGTGACAGAAAATACCTTCCTTTTCTTTTCTGTAATGCTAATTTACATTTCAAATCTTAGCTTACCTAGTTTTAAGGGCTAAGCAATAAAAAGTGTAACTTCAAATAGTTGTGTTGCTGTGACTTAATTTTTGAAAATTGGCTTTGCTCTTTAAATTGAGAAATTTATGTTTTCAAGTTCTGAATTAGTTATGTAAATATTTTGGGTTAATAGTACTTACAAATAAATTAAAAAATTAGAAATATATTCATGATGAAAATTTTATTTCTTACACTGCTTTTTATTTCTTCCTTTTTTCTTTGCTTCTCCTCATCTTCTTCACTTTAAGCTCCTTTTGAAGTTTTGACCTTTGCGTGGAGAAGGTCAAGAAAAGATATCTGCTGCCTTTTAAATATTGGTTTTCCTTGTATTTTATGGTGGTGTATTTTTGCCTCGGCAACAGTAAAACTTAGATAAAATGTGTTTAGATCAAGTTCTATTCATCTGCTATTTTTAAGAACCAAGTTTCTACGCCTAGAAAGCATGGATTGTCTAGACCATTTGAACCAAGATGTATGGATACAAAGAATAACCTTGCAACCAAAAAGTAGTATATTAAAACTTATTGCACTCTTTGAGATTGTTGCCCTTTTTTGGTGATTTTTCGCCATGTCATAAATGGGTGTATGGTATATTGAAGGAAAATGATTCGGGTAACACATTTTGTACTAACTGCGCTGTATTATCTAAGAAGGGCTACATAAAACTTTTATTTTATCCATCCCTACTAACTTGGAAACTGTTGGTAAAATCATTATTCAACAGACTAATATTTTTTAAATAAGTAAGAAGGCTTACTTTACAAAAGTAGTCAGATAATGCTCTTATTTCTCTTTCAAAGGCTAACAATGGCAGTTCTTGGTCCTGAACTGGTTGGTTCATCCAATTAATACTGTACACGCTACAATATCGAATATTAATAGATTTGCTGAAGATTCTGGGTTTCAAGAATAGCTTGAAAGCAATACATTTTGCTACCATGAATCATGACTCAAATTATCCCCCATGTGCTTTACTACCTGTGTATGAATGCAAATGTTGTTACAGAAAATATGCTTGAAATGTCAACACAATGTGCAATTACTATTGCATTGTCATGCTTTAGCATGTGATATCTGTATGGTGAAGTTATTTCAATTACTATAATAAAAAATGTTTAACATAAGAAAGCTACAACATGTCATCAAATGGTTATTTCTGTTTTACACATACACACCGTGTTTTTAGTAGTGGAGGAGACTGGTCAATTAAGCTTTCAGGTGATGAAATATATTTTCACAGTAATTTTCTTCTGCTGTGTAGACAGCAATAGCACTATGGGGATAACTTTACCTTCTATTAAAGTCAGGTCGAGTAAACAAAATTGGTGTCAGTTCTTTTCCTAGTTAGCTGAAAGGCAAACCTTTCTAAAATTTAGAAATGATATTTTCATATGTCTCTAGTATCATTCCTTATAACAAAGTATTACTAATCTGAATAGAATTATATTAGCA